CAGAGGCTGTAAACTTCCAGTCTTTGCTAGCCTTGTTGGAGGAAGATTAACACACAGCAAAGCAGCACTATGTTTCATGCATTCACATGTAGTTGTAGTTACCATCTGCAAAATAAAACCATTTCTTTGTAGTTTTCCCCTTTACGTTTTGGGAAACATAACCTTTTGTTCCTGTAGGTTATGAAGGGAACTACATTTACATAATTCTGCTGTTATTTTTCTCGTTGTTCTGTGCAAATGTCATCACCGCTGACATCAGTGGTGCCGTGGGAGTCCCACCTGCTGGCTGCAGCTGCAGAGCCAGGAGGGGAGCTCCTGATGAGGCATGCCAGGGTGCCCAGAGCTGAGGAACCAGGAGCAGGCTCCCTAATGATACTTCTGGCTGGGAACCTCAACAGGCTTTTGTATGGCAAAGTGTATCTTAATGCCTTGCAATCAAACGTGAAAACTATTTTAGAACAGGAACTGGGGAGAAGATTATAATAGTTGGAAGTAGGATGTGGTGCTCTTACAGTTTCAGGAGAATATGGTAAAAATGTGGGAAGAATGTCTAAGGATCTGTGTCTCTCAGAGATGCTGTTTGGAGAGGTGGGTTAGGCGTTTGTCTACGCAATGGCACTTTTACTGTTACTTTTATAGATCAGTGATTAGGTTTACAACATATTTTGGTGCTAACATAAACAAAAGTATGATTCTGATGTGTGTTTTTCATGTAATGATTTTTCCTAAACTTGGAGTGAAACATTCTGTATGTTCATTAGCAACTAATATAACACCGATATTTTTTCCTGAAGGCTTTGGTCATTTCATAAAATGTTTCCTGTATTATATGTTTCCTAAGGGTGTTAGAGTCTTTATCTCCAACATATAATAAACTTCTCTTCATCTTTCTCTAGTGCCATTAAAGCCACAAGCCTTTTGTTGTAAAAATATACTAATGAATAGAAATGTTACAACAAGAACAGAAGTCTTGTGTTTTCCCTTCATCATGCATCATCCATTTTAATTAGACGAAAGGGTGGTGAGTACTGTGACAAGAGTCTGGAATTAAAATCATTAATTGATGTCAAGCTGACGAGAGACTGCTAACATGAATTTACTGACAGCGGGAAAGAAATTAACCTTATTACTTTATTTAGTACATTGGGACTATTTATTATATTTTCCTATGCAAGGTCAGTGTGCTCCATTTATGATGATAGAGAAAGACAAATAATTAATAGATGCTGTGTAAAAAGTTTTGTTACATCCTATAAGTCACATCGTTAACTTGAAAAAGAAAATGACACACCACATCCCTTTCATCAGCATAGCTCATCAAAACCATTACAGCCATATTTTTGATATTTTAAATGAACATAATATGCTGTGCTATACTCTCCAGCCAAGTACAATTACGAAAGTGATCTGATTTAAAACAATGCCTTTATTTCGTAATGTCAGTGTCACAAAAAATGAAGCATATTTTTTCCTGCAGTGACATTGATTGGAATAACTGTCTGTTTTGATCATCATTGGAAGGTCAGCCTAACAAAGATGAGTTTTAATGTTAAGCATCTTTATTCTCTAGATGAAAGAATATAATGGTGTCTTACAGAATGACAGCAGCATCCTATAGATAATTTGTGACCCAGAGGTCATCATAAAAGAATAGAGAAGAGGTCATCCTGTAGTAAAGGCCATCTGGAACTGTTAAAGTATCAGATGGAGTGGGGGGCTGAGCAGCAGGACACTCTTGGTGTCTTTCCAGATTTCCCAGAGAGACCATAATATTTTTGTTGGAAAACCCCAGCTTTCTCGCTTTAAGCAAAATATTTTCATGAAGCTGTTTCATTTTACTTCTAGGGGAAAAAAAAAAAAAAAAAAGACAACATACTGTGATATGGAGATAATTTTTGCTTTATATATAACCCAAGTGTTATCTGTCTTTAAAATAAAGTGAAGGTTCAGCTTTAGACTTGCTGCTGCTGTATTTTGCTGCCACTTAACAGCTCTCTCAAGAAATATTCCCTCTAAATCCATAATTACTGCAAACATTCAGAATATAAATATTTTCTAAAGTGACTAGCTTAAAATCTTTTCTGATAAAACTTCCACCCCCTGCCCAGCCCATAAGAGAGGAGAGAAAACAATCCCTCTGTGAATCAGAAAATAAGAGCAATGTGTTTCTCATTCTCACTTATTTTGAGATGGGGTCTGCCTGTCAAGGGATATTCCAATTTCACTGAGATTTGTAGCATTTTTTGGCAGTTGTTTTTTACATAAGGGATGAGGTGCAGGATATGAAAACAAATGAATAGCAATTTTTTTTTTCTTTTTTTTTTCTTTTTTTGTAAAAGAACACAGAAGTAAAGCGTGAGAATACTGAACTTAGGAAAAATATTTGCCATCAGTTGCGCTTCATAAAAATGTGGACTTCTGGAGATATGTAAATTGAAGTTTGAGTGGAATAATAGTTGCTGAGGTGTTTTTTAAACAAAACTCCTCTCATTCTTTAACTGCATTTTGTAAATATATGAATTAAGATTATAAGACATCACACTACAACTGTATTTTCTCTGTTATTCTTCCACAGAAATTCAGGCGCTGTACTGACAAGGGCTGGCCAAGTCCCTTGCCATATTTTCTTGGTCTCTATAATGTTCTTGAGTTACAAATTCGGTGAAGGTGTCCTGCAGATACAGGTTCAGCACTCTGTTAGAAATAGCAGTTTTAATAAGAGCACTAATTTGCAGTGTTCTACTTCTCCATGCCAAGATTTCAGGACAGGGCAACAGCCTGTCCTCTGATGTTCCATAAATCACGCTGTTAGCACTAGAGCGGCTGTAGCGAATACTTATTTGAGAATGAAAATTGTAGTAGCATAATTACAAACTTACTGAATATGGCTGCTCCTGTTAGTGCTGAGTGGAACAGAACTGAAAACCCATCAGATTTTCCCAATGGCACTGCAGGAGTCTAACAGTAAGCTGCACTAAAAGCTCTCTTTGTTCTAATTTTTAGATAAAGCAGCAATTATTTGACTAATCAGAAAGACACCAATGGTGTATTCACAACAGGCAGACAGGTCCCGCCTGCACACCACAGCTGGACCCTGTCTTTTGTAACCAGTTACTAGTTTGCTCCTCTTAATGGGTTATAGCACACCTGGTTCGGTGTCCGGCCGTGCTGTAGACGTATGCTGTCAGTCAGTACTGCAAGCCAGCAGGGTTTTAGAAACAAACTCTGAGAGGTGTTGTGGGTGTTAATTTTTGGTCCTGAGCATCTAATAGTTATATTCTCTATTGGTGGTTGTTTCGTTATTTTTTCTTTCAACTTCAGTGTACGAGATTCATAAATCTCTTACTTTGTTGTAAGGTTTTTCATTGTGATTTTTTGTCACTTCCCACTGTTTCATTTTCCAACTTTAAAATTTGGTTGTTTCATACATAGCACCAGGAACACAGAATAATGGACCTGTAATTGAGCTAATGGCAGAATTTCATAGTCGCTTATGTTACTGTGCCAGCTGGAGGAGGATGATGCTAGATAGGTTCAGCAAAACTGACTGATGACAGTATTGTAACCAGACCTCTAGTTACTGCCTGCAGTATCTGTGAATGACTGATTGGATATGTGCTATGATATATGGTAGCATTTGATATACAGTATGTTGTTTTCATTAGTGTTTTGAACATATGAGAACAGCTGTTCCTTACACATCCAACTACAAAATTCAGATGCTAGCCAGCAGTGCTGTTTGCTGATTAGTTCTCCAGTTGGAAAAATGCTGCAGGGAAAGTAACAGCCCAACAAAGCCCCTATAAGAGAGGAAGACAGTGCTCTTAGAGTGAGGACAGTTTGAAGCATGAACTCTCTCAGGTGTTTTAGCAATTGTTGAATCTTTTTATCTCCTTCAGTAGTACTTCAGTCCACCAAAAGGGCTGATAGAAGATTAGAGCTACATTAATCTAATGACTGGGGATCTGTCTCACATCAGTTCATCTGCCCAGTTTTGGAAACCAAAAGAAATTTGCTTTTCTTACAGGCAGCAATGATGTTATTTGACGCAACCTGCTTCCCAGCAGGATAACAGCTCTGTTTGCTCATCTGAGTGATCCTCCATTGCTGGGGCTGCTGACCCCAGGATCAGACATGAAAATTATGGCAGAAAATTGTAGTCTTTGTAGTGTTTGATTTGGGGATGGGAGGACCTGCAATCCTGCCTATGTACCTGATACATTTGGTTCTGGTGGAACAAAAAACACAGCAGGTATACTCTCCACCCCAAAGTGCTGCAGACTATCAGCTATGTAGTCTAAAGCTCCATGGAAGGGGTAATTTACAGATTTTGTGTGTGTATGTGCATCAAAAAAAAAAGCCAGGATTTTTGCTTACTTACTCTAAGATCCAAGGAAGCAGGCTTGATGCATTCTGCAGGGTGGGGTCTTCTCTTTGAAAAGACAAGGGAGGAATCAAGATAAGGACAGGTAGAGGTGAGGTACATAGGAGACTCCACCAGGTTAGAAAAAAAAGATTCTAGTGACACCTTTATTTTCATCAGTGTCACTTGGTTTCCAATGTCTGTTTGCATTTCATCTGCTTATTAATATAATATTTACTTTATCTCTTGCATTTTTTTACTTCTTTACATCTTCATTTGTATCAGCCTTCTTAAATATGAGTCCTTATAAAAATGAGCATGCTTTTCTCAATTTATTAGAGCACTTATAATAATCACTTTTATTTTTTCTCCCTACTACAGCCCTCCTGAGTTGTAGCTCATTAAAGGTTTTTGAAATTCTCAGGGGTCTCTTCTGCATGTGGAATTTGAGGAAGGGGGGAACTGCAGGGAGACACTTGTTACTATCACATTTTCTAACTGGCAGATAAGCTGTGATTGTTGGAGGAGAAAGAAAATTAAGACAGTCTGATTTTGTGTATTTCTGATGTATTTTTTTAATTTCAAAGTTGGTGGATTTTTTTTTTTTAATCTAGTCCATGTTATATTTCTCTGTTCTTGTACAAACACCAAATGGAAAATGTATGTGTATAAAATTTCTGTAAAAGTTGTAGCAGAATTGCAAAGTCACGGCTTGAAGCAGTGATTGAGCACCTGGTGGGAAGGCAGTGCTAGCCCAAGGGAGATCAGCTGTATGCAGTACACCTGAGTGACCGGAAAGGTTGCAGCCAGGATCCACCCCTTCCACCCTCATTTAAGGGTTGGCTGTGGAAGTAAGGGTATCTCACTTGTGATCTCTGTTTACTTGAGGTATTCTCATGGTAAGGTAAGCAGCTTCTTTCCTGTATTTCTGTGCCTACAGCTGTTCTATTTGGGCAAATTCTCATTTGCTGTAACCTAGGACTTTGCTGTTCTGCTGTTGCGATTGTGCTTTCCCTCATGTTATACAAGTGCAGAATTATACATAGGTTGTTCCTGAAATAATGCCTCCTGCTTATTTATCTGGAAACTACAATAGATATGAAGAGCACGGTAGCACTAGTTCATAGAGTAAATTCTCAGTTACAAAATATTATTTTTTTTTTCAACTTAGTCACTACCATTAGCTATGCATTTTTACCAGTAGTGACCAACAGCATCGTGTGCTCATAAAAATCTGTAACGTTAGAGGTGACCTGCTGTGGCTGCTGCTGAAATGCACTATCCACTGCCTCACTGTGCACATCCACTGTTTGATTTTCATAATCTTTCAGCATGTTTTTCATGAATGTAAGTGGGCACGTATTAGATGCTATTGTGTTAGACTGCCTCTCTGCTGCCATTTCTTGCACAGTGACAAAATGGAATGGAATATCAGTGGGAAGGCTCAACCTCTACTGCCACACCATCAATATTCACCTCTCACTTTAAGGGCCATCATAATAAAATAGGAGGCGTTACTTTCAGAGCAGCCCTTGGTAGCTGGAGGAGAGCTCATGTTGCTTTCATGCAAGGTAGGATCTCCAATGTATGCATTTCCTGCAAGATGTCTATTTCATCTAGGATTTTAGGTTTGGGGGCGGGGAGGGGGGAATGTTGTTGGTTTTTTTTTCCCCTTTAGTTTATGATGACATACTTGAAAACTTCCTGTGGCAATCTGTTCTACTATCTTTTTAATTAGGATATTCCCCAGCCCACAGCATCTAGTCTTTGTCATTCTTGCTGCAACTTAAATACATAATATTTGCATTACATATAGAAAACACGATATTGTTTTCTCCCTTATGTATTAGGAGAGTGCTGTTATGTCTCTGCTGCCTCTTCCACAGCAGTTTGACACTGCTGATTCAGGAGTATCTGTCACTCACTAAAATTTTCAGATCCATTCTTACAAAACAGCTCCCAGGTTTTTACCTTTCTTTTTATATACTTAATTATTCTGTGTAAATTACTTTCTATTTCCTGTTATTAAAATAAATTTGCATTTTGAATTTTGCTCTGTCCTTCAAGAGCATTTGAAGTTTCAATCTTTTCCTCTGTTTTTCCTTCATTTGGATTTTGTGTGGATTCAGAAGGGTCCTAATTAATAATGAAAATACTGAGTAAACTCAGAGAGGGATCTATGCAGAAGATGTCTCAATCCATCCTCCTGCTAAGAGCTACTCCTCTCTAGATGCTCTATAGGAACTGACCTGTTCAACTTATTGCATCTTTCTGTTGCTGTTTTTCATAGCCTGATATCTACTACTGTTTTTCCCCTATTCACAAGGCCTTTTACTGAAGGAAATCAGATTGGCTTGACCACATCTGTTCTTGATAAATTTGTGGTGGCTATTGCTTGTCCCATTATCTCCTCAGTGCTTACCAATAGTTTGATTCAAAGTTTCTCAGTGGGCTGACGTTAAACTGATGAGTCAATAATTCTTTTGCTCCTCCAGGGGATGTTTGACTTTTTCTGGTCTTGCAGTACTTCAGCTGTCCTCAACAGTTTCTCACGATTACTGAAAAATGTCTGAGACTACCTAAGACAGTGGTGTGTGCAGGATGAAGTTCAACTAGCTTAACCAGCCACCTGGTTGCAATGAACCATTTAGTGAAGACATATGAAGGGAAAAACTAACAAATCAAGCCTCAAGCCTCAGCATCATTTGTTAATTTCATTCCCTCAGTACTGAGCAGGGAAGAAACCTTTTCCTTCCTCTTCCATCACTTGCTAATACAATTACACAATAACTTGTATCTTTTAAGCTCCCTGCTACTTCTATTTCACATTATGCTTTGGCCTTTCTGATTTTTGTCCTTGTATTTTTTTTGTGATAGTCCATAGCAAGCTGACCACATTTGTGTGTGTTCCTCTGTGTTCATGGATGGCATCCATATCTTAGCCAACTGGATACACATGTATGTACAGGAGATATGGTTGAGGTGTTTATTTATTAATTTGAAAAGGGTTGTTCTTAAGCTTTCCTATTTTAAAATACTTAATTATCAGGTTTTTTTACTTTCTTTGTATTCAAGTTCTGAATAAAGTGGGAGGGCACAGGAGGAAGAAGAAATGTCTTTCTTGTTTGCATATTACCCACAATTGGGTAGCTTGTTGTTGCCTGTGATCACTCATTGCCCACAGTGTTCTTTGAGAATGATTTCCCTAAGAATCCAGATGTTTTTGCTGAGAGATTGTTACAAGTGGGATAACTGACTAGCTCTAATAATGGTAAGAAAAGCTAAGTGTCATAAGCAGGTTCAGAGGGAAATCAAAATAATGCCTATAATCAAGGTACCCATTAGAAGAGCAGTTGTCAGAAAAATTTTGCTTGGATCCAGACAAAGGTCAATGGAAAATTATAGAACAGAACAAGCTCCCATATTGACTTGATTGTCAAAAATTAGGAAAAGGACCGTTAAGCCCTGAAGGCATCTGGGGGGAGAGGGAGGAGGAGCAGTGAGACCTGGCTTATTGCTGGCATGCTGTGCCCACGAGGTATTTTTCTCTAGCAGAGGAGGAAGGGACATGTCTGACAAGATCTGGCTACTGGCCAATGCACCTTCTGACCTCTTTATTAGAAACAATATCTGGCAAAAACTGGACCAAATGCTGTCATCCCATCCGACTAACTTGAACAAGCTGACTGGCATTATAAATGCGTTGTTTTTCTTGGTTCTTAATCCATCATAGAGAGGAATGCCAGTCTGATGGCAAAACAACTGAGAACTGTCAGTGGTGGATGGCTTGTCATTTAGCTTCTGTTCTTACACAATGCTGTTTCTATCCTTAATAAGCATTGTCAGCCGCCCCACATATGTGGAATTGCGAGCGTTCAATACTGATTTTGTAAATCAGCGAGCCTCAGTGGAAAAGACTATGTTGTGGATAATCACTTGGGCAATCACCGAGTCCTGGCAGCAGCAGGATGATTAATTGAATTGACCAAGCAATTGCACACCAGAGGCTGCAGCCAACTTTGTTTCAGCTCTTAGGGGAGGACATTGCTGCCAGTGCAACAACTGTAACGTACTACCTGTGAATACCCCTCCCATACTGTGCTTGTCAGTTAAGAGTAGCCAAATTTCAAAGGATCTAAACAAATCATATGACAAATCCTGCAACACCTCTGCTATCATCACTGATGTGAGTTTTCCAGTGCTGGAAGAAGTTTTGTTTCCACAGAACTGATGTGAGCATTTGGCTCAAAAGATTTGTCTTGCAGAGTAATACAGTTGATATGAGCTATCTGGCTAACTACCCTTTACAGCAGAGGGTGTGCACTTGATGCCTTTGTTAGAGTTGAAGGATTTGGTGTTTGTGAATGCAGGCACATTTCCCTGCTGGCTGAACAGCCCTGTAGGCTCCCCAGGCAGTGGCCTGCTGATGGAATGTAGGCCAGGTCTACCCGGAGAACAAAACATGCTGACAATATGTGGGTGTCTAAAATGCCAGTTCCCCTCATCTGAAAGCTGAATCAAACTCACAGGTTTTGAAAAAGGGATGTCTGCTGGGGACAGCTGAGCAAAAGCTTTCTACTTCTGTGACCACAATCTCACATGCATAGGAATCGCTATACAATGGGTATGTCTGTCATTACTGGATTAGCTTGCAATGAAAAGCTTGTTGAACAATTATAGGAAGTTCTGCAACTAATAATATTGTCATTTGAAGCAGTTATCATTAGCTTTTGAATTGAATGCCACACAAATGCGTGAGGATAGTTTATACTTCACTGAACATTATAATTTGAGTATCAAAAGAATGGCATCACGTTGATGGCATTCAGTATTAACACTTCAGCAAGAGGGGTTTAAGAAACTTCTTGGGATAGCTTCTGTATTTTTTTGAAAGTTCCATTTCATTTAAACACTGCAAAATTGATCAGCAATTTTTGCAAAACTCTTTCAAGATGGAGAGAGTTATATAAACACTAAGCATTGTTATCGTTGTTAAGCCCATATTACGTTCAAAGAAATCCTCAAAATTAGCTGATCTGAAACTTCAGACATATGCATTTTTATTGTGTCATGGAATACTGTTTGGTGAAGACAGTTTAATATAGATATCCACACTGCGAGCCTGAAGCACTCTGGTTGAACACTTCTCCAGATAGTGGACTTCAATAGCAGGAGCACTGCTGATTAAGGCTGAAGTACAGAGCAAATTCCAGGTTGTTGTCTGTGCTTCAGTGTGTTCACATAATCACTTCAGTTTTTCCTACCGTAGTCTGCATGGACACGTCCTGAGTGTGCACTTAATTTGGTGCATGCTAATGGATAACTTAAGGCACGCCATGCATACGGGTGCAGGCAAGGAGGGGACTCTACATAAAAAATAATACGGCATTAAATTCAACTTAAGTCTCAAAATATGTTTTTATATAAAAGCTATTACAATTGAACAAGGAATAGAGTAATATTCAGCTACTAGCTGTGTTCCTTTCAAGAATGTATCTACGTAATTTTTTGGTGGTTTGTTTCTTTAAGTATATTATGTCTTGAAGAACAAAAGCTGAGCTGTACTTTAAACAATACTTAAAAATTAATTGGAATACCTATATTTTTGTTATATTGAAAGAATACTGGTTTAGACTTGACACAACAAATTCAGAGAAGAAGAATGAGCACGTTTTGGATGTCAGTACAGATAGAAATCTTGTAAGTCTCACCTTTGAGTCACCCCTTGTAAATGCTATTAGAGGGTTACTGAATATTTTGGTTATAATTAGCAGGAAAATGTATAACACGTTAGACTCTGATTTTTAATACTGTGTATTAACACAATTTATAAGCAATTGTAGGAAATAATTCTAAAAAAATTCCTGGTAGATGTGAATGTAATTATTTGGATAACACTTCAACAATCAGTTCACTTCCACTTGAATAGGAGTAAGTATTCTTCATTGAACCATGCATGGGAGAATCTTAATGTTAGGATGCAAATGATGTTATTTATGAGTTCAAGCGCATTAAATAGCCAATAAACAGATACATGAGAATATTTTGTTAACAATGAAACTGGGGGCACTGAAGTCTGCACTTGTGGGGAGTGAAGTAATGTTCATGGTCCAAACCTAGATAAGTTCACCAGCACACATCATAGCAGTCAGTAAGAGGAAGGCCAGCGTCCCCGGTTGTCACCAGGTAATTCAGTTTTATGAGCTCATCAGGTTATGTCTTTGCTATACTGTCAGATTTCGTGCATTAATATTTTACTTGTCTAAAGCATTTTTTCCCTCAAATTGGTGTCAGCCATTGTTCAGATATTTGGCAACACTGACCACTGAAATTTAAAATGAAGTGCTAGAGTTTAGTAATATCTTGAAAATTGTGCATTTCCTTTGCTTTTTCCATTCAGAAGACAAATACTAGAGGGTATATTTTCTGCTACAGGGCAATTAAAACAGAAGTACAAATTGGATTTGCTATCTGCAGAGAGATCAAGTCAGCTACCACAGGTCTCCTTCAGACCTGCTTTTCCTCTGGAATACAGGACAATGTAGCATATATTTTTGTATTTTAGAAGCGCGTGTGCAAAAACAAAGTTTAAATTTGAAATAGATTTGGTGTTTAAGGCTGAATCCTTTGTCAATATAAATTAAAAAAAAAAAAAAATCCTGTTGGATGTTGATGAAACTGGGAAATTGTAGAGGAGCATGCCTTCACCTGAATAGTGTTGCAGTTTTCTTGTCCATTTTTCCCCTCTTAAAGTAAAAAGCAATCAGTAAAAAAAAAAAAAAAAAAAAAAAAGCAAAACTTGTTTGCTTATTTAAAAAACTGTTACTTTTTCACAGATTGCTCCTATTTGCATTTTCTTTTTGATTGTATGCTTGTTTTCCTTTCCACTGGACTGAATGCAGGCGAGAGTTGTGGTGTACAAATCAGTAGTACTAGTCATAAAAAAAAAAGAGTGAAGCTGAGGTACAATTCAGGCCTTTACGTGAATCAGTGAACTACCGGTGCAGCTGTTACTGGCTGTTGAAGAGAGTTCAGTGGATCAGTTTGACTCCCCAAACAGTACCCTTGGTCTGTACTTGTGGGTTTTTTGAAGAAAATAGATCTGCCTGTCTGTGTTACCCTTTTATTCCGTTCTTTTGTTACCAGGATCTCTGTTAGCATAGAAAGCACAATTTGCTTGGGGCTCAGTTTGGTGAAGACGTTTTGATTTAGACTTCTCCATACAAAGCTCAGAGCGGGATTCTCGTGCACACAGTTGTCTTTTGTCATTTGACTTATCTCAGTGTCTATGAGATGTCAGCATAGGGCTGGCAGATGTGACAAGGGCCTACAAGAGCCCTCCTGTCTGGCAGCTAGGGGTCTGGCAGGGTGTCTGAGGGCTGTCAGGTGCCTAAAGCTGCCTGTGCTTGAGCAGCTCAATCAAGACTGGCATGCCAAGATCCCACATGAGACTTACACAGCACTGTAGGTCACATGCTAGGACACATTGACTGCTACGGAAGAGTTGTAACTCTTGGAAGTCTGCTGGCAGTGATGGAGCTTGTCTGAAGTGTGATGTCCAACTGTAACCAGAATCCCATCCCTTGTGTGTCTGTTTTTTTTGTTTGTTTGTTTTTTGTTTTTTTTTTTTTTTTGCAAAGGCTCATCTCGAACATGATGTGGCGAAGATAAAAATTTCAAAAAAATGTTGTGGTAACCTAACTCTTAGGTTTTCCTATTTTCAGAAGAGGCAAGGCTTGCTTTCAAAGGATTTAAAGGCTTGGAGCAGGCTGTTCCAGTTAATTGGTCAGCAAGCGGGGGGGTGCCCAGAGCTGTGGTCTGAATGGATAGATATTGTCACACTGTGTGGCTTGATCTATTAGATGAAAAAGGTACACATTTCCCTAATGGAAGGGAGGAGACAGCTGAGTGTTTCATTTTGTGATGATGACAGAGCATTAAATCAGTCTGGGGAGACAGTATTGGGGGTGCTTGTGGTTTTCTTCAGTTCACTGAGCATGTGTGGGATACATCAAATTTTCTAAAATACCAATGAAACTTTGAAGCCCAGATCAAATTTTAGTAATAGGTTTATGTGCTTTTGAAAATTTGACCTGTGCTCGGTTTATATTTGTCAGATTCCTAAATGCCATCTGTTTTTATT